TGCTGACAATAACAGGGTCTTAAACCAAACTAGAGTCTTTATGCGAGCTACAATTATGTGAACATTGGTGTCCTTCTGGATTTGAGCAGACAGCCACAATTCAGGGTCTCATAAGCTAGTCCAGTTAAGAGAAAGAATTAGTGTTTAGTTGTTTTATTTGCAATAAAAATTGTTTAGTTCTGTTTGCTTGCAAAAATATACAAAGTCCTGCTTCCTGAGTGCAAAAAGAATCAGAGAGTTTCCTTTTTTACAGCTTCAACTTTCTTTTAGCCAGCACCCTGACACCACAGGCCCCTCTGTCAACTTCTGAGGGCCACACATCGGTGCTGGTCCATGCTTTCTTCTGTTTGTTTCTGAGCTCTGCTTCTTCATTTCAACTGTCCCTCCTACATACACACGCACATGTATGCACACATGCAATGACAGTCAGCAACACTAGCGACCCTGCCTCCCCCCCGTTTTGGGTGGAGATATTTGCCTTGTGTTGTGAATGTGGAGACTGCTGTTATTTCAGTTATTGGTTTCCCTAAATAATTGTCATGGGTTCCCACAGCTGTCCCAAATGCAGGTCACCCACTACACATATCCATGCGGATGAGGATCTGTTCAAGCCACAACATCATCCCACCTTAGTTTCACTCATCATCCGAGGGAGACTTAAAATGGTAACATTTTAAAGCCCCTCCCAAATATAGAACTAATAATCTTATAGCTTAGACCCATGCTTTTTGTAACCATTTTCCATCTTTAGGATGCCTGTCAGGATAACTTAATGTTATCAACACAAAATAATTTTTTACACCTCACCCAATCCACTGCATGACTGACTTTTCTTCCACAACTCTGATAACCCTGAACAGTACCTATTGCTTCTAGGTCAGTACTGGACACAAACACTAGCATCTGTGTCCAGTAATGAAAGAGGCTTTGAAACACAGGTCAGGCAAGACAGGAGCACTCCCAAGAGCTCTTTGCAACTCTGAAAATGCTAGGCCACATCTGACTTATTACTGAAACAGTTTCTCTTTCTCACCCAACTCATGCAGCAATGTTGCTATACTGGCAAACCCCCAAATCAACCTCAGAGAATAGGAGTAGAGTTTGGCACAACTCCACAGGTCTGTAAGTGTCAAGGGAGCTGTCTAGTTCTGGACAGCCCCATTTTCCTTTTGTCACTGGAAATTCCTTCAATGTTAGTTAAATACTGAAGGCAAATTACCCCTTATTCTGGAACCACTCTGGTTTTTGGCTTGTAAATTGATTTAATCCTAAAGACAATGATAATATTGAAGCCATAATTTATTGATGAGACTAGTTGTTGTCAACACTTATGATATTATTGTCAGATAGTTGGTGTTTTCCAAGTTCCAGATGTTGTATTTTTTTAACAGATCGTTTTAATACAAGTTTTGAAAAATAGCCTTGATGACTGCAAGAGAAAAAAATACAACATGGGAAACATGCTAGTTAAAATGGTAAACCAGCTTCTGATAGGGGTAGCCTGTTTTCCAGGTACAGAGAATATTTTATTCATTTCAGTTCATGCCATTTAGTTTAGTTCAATAACTAGTTCATCAAAAGTCAGGAGTTTAAAAAGCAGGCAAGTTTGTTTTCCTCTTCTGATCTATAAAAATAAATCTAGGTGCAAAAGGCTGAGGTATACTAATTCTAAAATCTTGAATGATGTGGTTATCAGAAACTAGTTCAGTTTATTAACTACAGATAGCATTTCCTGCGTTCATCAAATCAATTTGTTTTTAATGCAAAATCTGATGTGATAAACTTTTTCCTTATGTAATCAACAGTGTTAATATCGTTTTGTTTAACTAATAAAAATAGTTTTATAATGACTGGTTTTCTGCCTTTCCAATCCAATTCTGGTATCTATCCAAAAGCAGCTTGATATGAATAAAAAATGAATTATCTAGTAAATATGAAATGTTGTTCACCATTTTACAACATCATAAAAAGTAAAAATTAAAAAATATGAATAAATATATTTTTTTGAATAAAGATATATAAGTTATATAAGCAAATAAATGTTGTATACTTCTGGTCAGTAAAAAGCAGTACCAAATTTAGTGCAAAGGCTGTATTTAATTGAATAATCAACATGTCTTCATGGTTTCCAGCTAATGAGAATCAACTTTTCTTTAGAAAAATAATTAATAGGCATAAAGACAAAACAAGTTTGCTGTTGATAATTTGAATCAAAGTTTTATACTTGCTGATTTAAATCACAATTTAAAATGGTGATTTAAATCACATTACTTTTAAACAGTCCTCCCTGGGAAGAAGTCATGGGATTTTAGCCAGAGGCACTCTGCAGTGTGACAGCTGGTATGGAAAAAGGGAAAGAGGGGCAAAAATGAAGACAATGAGGAATGGAGAGAATCGCCAGGTATATCAATGGATGTGCAAATTGCAAATTGGATGCTTATCTTGCGGGGATCCTATGACCCCAGTTGACTTCCTGCCCTTTGGGGGTGGGGCTAGACTCAATGATCTTCCGAGGTCCCTTCCAGCCCTAATGTCTATGAAATCTATGAAATGGTGAAAAAGGGAGTGAGAGTTCAGAAGTGAGCCATGCTATTAGACTGGAAGTCATGGAAAGGCCTAAGGGGAAAGGGATAATGTTGAAGGGGACCAGGTGGTGAGTGGAGGATAGCAGTATGGAGAAGAGAGAGAAAGCTCTGCTTGGTGAAGATCAAGTCAAGTGCACAAGATCAAGTCAGCTCTCTTGGTGGAAGCTAAGCCAGGGCTGAAGACCTGAGAAAACTACCAGCAAAGGAGCTGGGTGGGTCACCAGCCTGGAAACAGAAGTCACCAAAGATTGTTTGGGTAGCATGTTATATTTAATCCTTTGAAATTGCACGTGCTTATAGAGTGGTGAATTATAGCATTGTTTATATTTAACCTTACTGAATCACTGCTTGAAGTTTATAAAGCCTTATTAACTTTTTTTATTAGCTGGCCTTGAGTTGTTTTTGTATAGCTCATAGTGCTCATTATATTGTATCTTTTCTTTTTTATCACTGTGAGAACTTATTTTAGCATAATATAGCAATGGCCTTGTTACCAGTCAAATTAACAGAACTTGGTACTAACCGGCTGAATCAGAGGGATGAAAGGATTGGATACGTTAATGAAAGGTGATAAGGGAGACCAAAGGACAATGCCAAAGTAAGACCAAAGACAATAAGACCAAAGACCAAAGAAAAAGGCCAAATTGTGTTCTTGATGGGTCTGTTGAACAAAGGAATATGTTGACAGGATAGAAGATGGACAGTATGCTGACCACACAGAGACCAATCTGAAAGCAAAGAGCCATAGAAGGAGTAAAGTTGACAAAAAGCATGAAAGGGGGCAGCAAGAAAGTTAGGCATTGTTGTTGTCATACATCCAGCGTTCAATATGTGTCTGGACTGTCCCAGGCAATGACATACCCTTTGCTTCCAGGAACTGAGTGGCCATCTTTTCTGTTGAGCGAAGTAATATCTGGGATTGGGTGAGATCATTGTATTGAATATTTCTCTCTCTCTCTGAATATAGAAACTGCTAAGATAATACTTGTAAATCTAATAAAGTTTGACTTTGATTTTAGGACACTGAGTTGTCTGTGTTCCTATTTCACATTTCATTTAAGGGTTAATTGTGTTTTAACGATCCCTTAGCACTATCTCGGAGACAATGGTGCTAACAGGATGAGTGTGGGAAGATTGAAGACCAGAGAGTCAAGATTTGAAATCAGAAAGGAAAGCTAATGTGGAGGAATAGACTGCCTATGGAAGCTGGTCACTGTGTGCTTGTGTAAAGATTCAAGGAGACGCATATTAATTTTTGAAGAGCTGCACGTGGCTCTGGAGCTGCAGGTTGGTTACCCCTGGCCTTGAAGGTGATGGGAAGCTGATGAGGCAGAGTCAAATGCACTGCTTGTGAAGAAAAGAGGAGGAATTCAGAGAGGAGAACTGAAAGCAGCAAGAATAAGGGACAGGGTCTGATGCAGTTCAGAGGCAGTGCCAGACTAAGGTGTCCAGCTCTGTGGGGTTACAGTCCACAGGGTCTCTAGTGGGTAGAGTCAGGGGTGGTCCAGAGGTTTCAGAGACAAGCTGTGCTTTGGGGCACCAAAGGGCAGATCCAAAATGCAAGCCAGAGGGCATCAGAGGCCCAAAATCAGAAACCAAGAGCCAAGCCCAGGGACTAACCAGGATCAGGGTTCAGCTCTATTTGTTGTGCTGTTTTATGGGGGGCTAGGTCCACCAGGAAAATGTTAAGTGCACTTTAATTAGGGATACTACTGGGGATACAGCAACAGAAGTCATGGGAGAACAAATATGAAAGCAGAGACAGGGGTGAGGGGCAAAGGTTAATAACGAGTGCTCTGGGGGTGAGCACCAAGCAGAACATGCCAGGGGGTGCCCAAAGGTCCTTGAACAAGCCCAGGGAGCCAGTGCTCTCTGCCCAGTGGGACTTTTTCTGGGATGTGAGCAGATGAGGGCCAGGATGACAGCCCCAAAATTACTGCAGGGGGGTGAACAGACCCTCCTTCCTACCCAAGTAAGTGGCAGGGGCTCAACTGGCCTTGCCTAGTTGGTCATGAGCAACTGTCCTACTCACCCCGGCTGCAGGGCACAAGCTGCGGACTGGGAGTGCCAGGAACTGAAGGGGGCCATAACCATGAAGAGATCACGGAGGGCTCCACCCACAGCAGAGGTGGAACACGCACACACCCCCTCTAGGGCCAGGCACGTGCCCTGTCCCCCAGTGCCTTATTCCTCTGCTCCTGGCAGCGCCCGCCCCCTCCCAGCACTCTGATTGGCTGTCCGTCCCCTACAGGGCGGGCCCAAAGTGCAGCGCAGCTGATCAAACCCGTGTTTTCACCCATGCAACCCCTTCCCTCACTCGCCTTTCTTCGAGAGCCCGGCGCTCCTCTCGGCCTCTCGCAGAGCAGGCGCGAACTACAACTCCCAGCAAGCAGTGCGGGAGCGCCCCTGCACCACCCCTGCCCCTTGGCTCCGCGTCGCCCCGCCTCGCGGTGCAGGCCGGGAGTGGGAGTCCCGCGAAGCGAAGACGAAGCTGCCCACCGGGGCCGCTATGCAAATAAGCGGGGCGGGGCGGCGGTTGAACGGAAGTTGGGGCCGTCGTTGCTCCTGCTGCGCGCGGGGTGAGGGTGCGGCCCTGTCTTTTCCAGGGTGGGAGGGGCTGTGGCGCTGTTCTACCTTCCCCTTGCGGGGTGCGCTTCTGGGGTGTTCCAGCAATCCCCCGGACAGGCTGCTGGGCCGAGCCAGGGTGCAGCCCGGAGGGGCAGGGGCCTCTAGCAGGGGAAGGGGTTTCCTGTGCCCTGTTGCCAGGAAGCCTGAGGCACCCTGGGCTGCAGGGCAGCAGCTGTTTGCAGCTCCAGAGCAGTGATTATTCCCTTCTGTTCTGCACTGGTGAGGCCACATCTGGAGTGCTCCTCCAGTTTTGGGCCTCCCACTGCAGAAGGGGTGTGGAGAAATCTTAGGAGAGCAGTGAAAATGGTTGTGGGTGGGGCTGGGGGACATGAATGATGAGGAGAGGCTGAGGATGGAGCTAGATGGGTCTCAGTGGTGGCAGATGACAGAACAAGGAGCAGCAAGGGAGGTTTAAGTTGGATATTAGGAAAAACCTTGTTACTGGGAGGGTGGTGAAGCACTGGAATGGGTCATCCAGAGAGGCGGTGGAGTCTCCATCCTTGAAGGTGCTTAAGACCTGGCTTGACAAAGCCTTGGCTGGGATGATGTAGTTGGGCCTGGTCCTGCTTTGAGCAGGGGGTTGGACTAGATGACCTCCTGAGGTCCCATCCAACGCTAATTTTCTATGATTCTTGCTCTTTGCTCCACTTGGCAGGTGGTACACAGAGGAGCCATAAGGGAGCGTCTTGCCAGCCAAGCCGTCACCTTCTGTCCCAGGCCCGAGACATCCCAGCGGAGCCATGAGGGAACCGCATGCAGCCCCCCGTGCACCCTGGGTCGGCCCCACAGCTCCCTGAGGAGGCAGAGCTGCTGCTGCTGCTGTCTCCACAGCTCTGAGGCAAAATGCCAGCGTCCACTGGGAAGCACGAGGTGTAGCACGGCTGGTTCTCACTGCTGCTGGCCCCTCAGCCATGTCCCTGTCTCGTGTGGAAAATCCCTGTTTTCTGCTCTTCCTCGCTGGCTTTCAAGCATTGTTTATCCTAATCCTGTACCGAGGTGGAGCAACTAGTGTGTTTCGGGGGATTTTGGAGGCACCTCGGGCCTTGGATTACTCCAGAACACACGATGTGTACTCAAACCTCAGTCTGTTCACCCGAGCGCCGAACAAGGACACCATGCGATACTGCACAGCCCAGTCTCCAATATTTGGTGCGTATAAGCTGCCACTGGCTGCATTTCAGCATCATGATGCTTCGCGCTCTGCAAAAGTGAAATGCATGCGCTCATAGGGCTTCTCCCCTAGAAAAGGTTTGTAAAACCCAGTTGAGATGATGCTGCTTCTTGTTTTCCCAATTTCAGCGACAGCACATTTTTGCTGATCTAGTTTCAGTGCCTTGCTGTGGGTGTGGGTTGGGGTGTTTCTGGGAAATGAGCACACTCTGTGCAGGTAACTAGCTAGAAAGCGCCCTGTGCCAGTACATCTTAGTAACTTAACATGGTCTTACTAGGCCTTCCTACTAGTAATTCTGCTCTGTGGGCCAAACTGGAGATGAAAGGAGTTAATCTAGGTATTGGAAACTGACTTCCCTGTGATAGACTATGAAACGGTATAGATGGTCCTGAGCAGTGTAAGCTTAGTCCCTGTCTTTGCCACTGCGCCACCAGTGTTTACGAGCAGTGAATGCTGTGATGGGCCGTAAGTACAATTTTTGACAGAAGATACTGCAGGAAGATACTGCAGTTAGTCCTCTAACCAAGATGGAAAGTTTTTCGCTCTTTTTTGTGGCCTTGATGAGTGATGCAATCTTAGATGCAACCAGTTCACAGTTTGTAAAGTTTTGTGGCATGGATTGTACCTTTTGTCTACTTAAGGAAATGTCCCAACTGCCCATTTAGCAGCAAGCTGAACCATTGCAACCTATTGTGCAAGCTATAGTGAAGTTTGGGCCCAACTAACTTTGCCATTTGGCAAGGGTTTGAAAAGGTCTGGATGATAATGGTGTTTCCTTTTTTTAATCTACATTTAAAACTAGTGGTTTGGTGGAAGAGGAAGAAGTCAGCCACATGTAAATGTGTTTTTCAAAAAATCCAAGTTAAAACTGGGCTTTGTAACCAGGTTACAAGCTGTCTGCATGGTATGGTACATCAAGTCTGTAGTTCAAGTCTGTAGTTCAAGGCTAGTCTGCATACGTACCTGTTGTAAACTGTAGCCATTTCTCGGAGGCACCATGCGCTAACAGGTGCTCAGATACTCTTAGGATGCTTATGTGAGTGTATAAACTTAGGTCATGTGTATCCATGTTGTGAATAAAGCTGCCATGCGTATGTAGTGCAACTGGTTGTGGTAAACTGTTTGAGTTAAACACTGCTGTGCTAATACTGACAAGCCCTTAGACTCTCTACGAGGTTTATAACAGTATTTAATTAAGCTTTGGTATTTTTTCCTGCGTCACTTGAATTTAAATGAAATGCACTGCCACCACACAGGAAATGTTTATGCTGTTCTCCCATATCTTGTGCTTGTGTGCCATAACTCTTCTAGAAGTAGGGGGGGTAGGTTGTAGCCGTGTTGGTCTAAGGGCACAGGCAGATAAGGTTCTTTGGGTGGATCTGATATCTTTTATTAGAGCAACTTAAATGGTTGGAAAAAATGATTAAGCAAGCTTTCGGGTTCAAAAACTAAGGAAGTCTCAACAGTTGGTGTGTGCTTTTCCTGGGTGGAATGAAGAGTAAAGAAGCGAGGCTGGGCTGGTATGCATACAAGACAGGTAGTCAGTGAAAATGTAGATTGAGGAGTCAATGGGTGAGACACAGGCTGTGGGGCGGGGGGGGACAGAAAGGGGATGAATAGTGGAGAAGTACCTGGGGAGTCAGATGTCAGGCAGGTTATAATGTGTCATAAATCCCATGTCTATATTTAGTCCATGATTTTTAGGACTGAGATATTGGAGAGAGAGTGGTTTTCTTGTGAGAAATGTGCTCCCACAGGTAATTGGGTATTTCTGTCTTTGATAGATTTCCAGTGTGCATTTATTCTGGTGCGTAATTGTTGTTTGGTCTCTCATACGTATTTTTCATCAGGGCATTTGGCGCGCTGGATGAGATTACATTTCTGGAGGTGCAGCTGTAAGATCCGGGAATGCTGATGGCTCTGTTGTGGGGTGTAGTAATTGTGGGGGTGGTGGAGATGTGTTGGCAGGTTTTGCATTTCTTGTCACGGTGTGGTCTGGATCCATTTGGTGTGTTCTGGGCCTGAGGAAGTTTGCTTCTGGTGATGAGGTTAGCGAGGTTCAGTGCTTGTCTGAAGGCTAGGATGGGTGGTTCTGGGAAGATCTCTTTAAGAATAAGGTCTCTTTCTAGTATGGGTTGCAATTGTTTGAGGATTTTCCGTACGGGTTCGAGGGAGGGGTGATACGTCATAACCAGCGGTGTGCGATTTATGGGGGGGTTTCTAGTGTACTGCAGCAGTTCTTCATGTGGTATCCAGGTGGCTATATCAAACGTGCAATCTGTCTCTCTGGAGGAGCGTCCTTGTTGGGTGAAAGCCTTTTTAAGATGGGTGAGGTGGACTAAATATAGACATGGGATTTATGACAAATTATAACCTGCCTGACATCTGATTCCCCAGGTACTTCTCCACTATTCATTCCCCTTCTCTCCCCCACCTGCCCCCCAGCCTGTCTCACCCATTGACTCCTCAGTCTACATTTTTACTGACTACCTGTCTTGTATGCATATCAGCCCAGCCTCTGGCTTCTTTACTTTTCGTTCCATCCAGGAAGAGCACACACCAACTGCTGGAACTTCCTTAGCCTGACAAAGGGTTTTTGAACCCAAAAGCTTACTTAATAATTTTTTTCCAATTATTTAAGTTGCTCTAATAAAAGATATCAGATTCACCCAAAGAACCTTGTCTTCTAGAAGTAACCATTTTTGGTAACTCCTCATAGTTACTGAAATCCTTGAGCCTTTTGGGCATGGATGCTAATTATCATGGTGCCTTGACCTTCACCATTAGCTGGAACCCATCAGGTCACTTTGAGTCTCTGAGTGGGCTTTGGTAGCAAGGGACTAGATTTGGTGACCTTAAGATCCCCAGCCATAGGCAGAGGACCATACACTTGCTACTCTCTCATCTCTCAGCAAGTACTAACAAGGACCCCCTTCCCCATCTAAAGCAACTAAGTAGGGGACTTTATAGTAACCCCCAAGAAGAAATTGTGAATGCTCTAATTTGTTTGCGAGTCATCAGATGGCAAGGAGTGATGGCTTGCTTGGAGCTATCAACAGAAGAGCAATTAAAGTTGGCTCAAAGAGATCATTCCCTCTAGAGTAATTAGCATCTGTGGAAACCTCTGAAGGAAAAGTAGAATTGAATTGTGAGATGCTTGCATTGTTAGATTAAAAAAGCAGTCTTGTGCAGTGTTGGTATGCATGCAGGTTAAGAAATAAGATTGCTTCAGTTTAATTTTGTAACACCCAACACTTTTTCCCCCTTATTTAAAAGAAAAGCGAAAGTTTTTTCCCAAAACACTTGTGTTCTGTTCTGTACAAACCTCATCTGAGTGAACTTTCAAATGCATGTTATTACAAAAGGTGTTTATTCTCTTTAGATCTAAAATGGTATATACCTGGCTTGTCCAACATACGGCCTGTTGGCCGGCATGCAGCCTGCCAAGCCGTTTTCTGAGGCCCAAGGTGCTGCGATGGGAAACAAAAGTAAACATTTTTGGTGTGGGAGGAGCCCTTCTGCGCACGCGTCAAGGCCTCTAGGGGTGGGCGGAAACCTTGTGGCCGGGGTGTTTTTTCCCCCCCGAGGGGTGGGGGGGCTGGTTTTGTTGCTGGACAAAAACATGGTAGCCTCCTCTCTGCGCCGATGCGCCTGGGCTGTGGCACTCAAGGCAACTGTCAGGACGTGGGGAGGGGAGGGGAGGCCTCAGGGCCCTTCCTGCCTGGTGCCTAACATCCGTCCTTGGTTGTGGGGGAAGAACAGGAGACAGGCTGTGGTTACTGCGCATATGCTAAGGCTCAACTCCCTCTCTTTGGAATCGGTCCGTGGGGTCAGCTTTGGCTTGGCCTGGGCACTAGCTACTGTGCATGCATGAACTTAGGGAGCGCTCACCTTGTCTGAAGGAATCTGGAGCTTGAGCAGGGGACGTGGATTCTGCGCATGCACTTATCTCTTTTCCCAACCCCCTCCCATCTGGGCATGGTCTGGGGGCTGCTCCTTGCCCCTGGCAGTGGCAGTGCCCAGTTTGGGGGGGGGCAGAGGGGCTTCCTGCCCTGCTGTGGCTCAGGGCTCTGTTGGGCCCTGGGCTTTTTCTGCACTAGGTGGAAAATATTTACACCAAGCGAATATAAAAAAGAAATTTTATTGGACCAACCCAGATAGTTGGAAAAATTCTTCTTTGCAAGCTTTTGGGTACAAACACCCTTTTTCAGGCTGAGGAAGCATCTGCAGTTGGTTTATGCTCTTCCTGGATCCAAAGAACCTGGTCCGCTGATGTGCTTAAACCAACACGGCTACAACCTATACCCGTTTAAAAATATGCACACTCCAGCTTCTCCCCAAGTATTGAATTTGTCACCACCCCCCAGCATTTCAGCTAGCAGCACCCTGGCAGGAGGTATTAGCCAGGCTTGCTCCCCAGCCAGCCCTTCCCAACAGTCAGGGGTCAGTGCCGGGTCAGGTCCACACCAGAGAGGAAAGGGTTAGCTGTCAGTTTCACTTGTGAGCCGGCTTGCTAGCTGGGTTGAAGAGGTGTAGGTTGTTGATGTGTTGTTTTTTGTTTCATTGGCGTTTGGGGTTTTTTTTGAAGACTGTTTCACATATAAGCTCTCGCTGGCTTCTCTCCAGCCAGCTGCTGCTCTTTCCACAGAATAACACGCAGGTGGCTACAAGGACCCCAGGTCTTGTTCTTCAAAATCTAAATTGACTGCTGGGTATTAGCAAGGTTGGATTGGGGAGTGTGTGTGGGGGTTTTGCACTTGCATTTGCACCCCCCTTTGATTTCTATTCTTTCATTCATTGTGAAGTGAGTAGAAGTGAATGTGTTTATTTTAGTCAAGTGTTTGGTATTATTTCATTGTTGCTTTTATATTGTTTTTTTTTGGATTTTAAACCACATTTCCAGACCCATTTCATTGTCACTTCCTACAACTTCATTGGTGTCAAAGGTCATGTGACATCACTTCCTGATGTGACACTT